GCCTGGGCTGGCCCTAACTCCTTATTTCCCCTAGGATGACCTTTAATGCCTGATTCTCCTACCTCTACCTTCTAAGTGCTGGGATTATAGGCACGTATTATCACACCTGAATTTCTTTTTTTTTTTCTTTTTCTTTTTAATTGTTGTAAAATGTACCTAATATATAAGGTATACTGTTTTGTTTCATACATTCTTAGGGTATAGTTGAGCGGGTGGTTACCTTCACATTGCTGTGCAGTCATCACCCTATCTATCTTAGAACTCTTCCTTTTCCCAAAAACTTGTCAGTGAACACTGATCCCTTGCCTTATGCCCCAGCACAGACTGCACCACCCTTTCTGAGTGTGACTGCCCTGGCTTCTACATAAGTGGATCCCTGGTTGTTGGGGTTTGCCCTCTTAGGCTGGTTTATTTCATTTATGGACATGGCCACTTGTCCCTTATCTGAGGTGGCTTTGGTTTCCACTGAAGTCCCTCTGCCTTCAGCTTTGCTCCTCTGTCTCACCTCCTGGACTGTATGTGTGTGTTGTGTCTTTGGTGGAAACTGGTGTCTACTCTGTCTAGCCAGTCAGTGCGGTGTACCTATGTAGCACCTTCTTTTCCTTAGTGTGCACATGGTTCCCTTTGTGCTGTGGGCTTGCTTCTATGTGTATGTCACAGACATATGACCCTACCTGGTATGTCTAAAGAGTCTGAGGCCTATGGCTTTGCTAGCCCTTGTCACCTGCCTGAGCTCCATGCCAGACAGTGTGCTATGAGGCTTGGGCACTGTGTGGATCTCCTAAACCTCACACTGCTGCTGTGCTATGGTCTCCAGTGTCCCTGGAAACTGGTTTGTGCCTGCTCTCTAAAGCCACATAAGACACCTCTAAAGGCAGTGAGAGACACTGGGTTCAAGAGTGTCAGACAGGGGCTGGAGAGATGGCTCAGCAGTTAAGGGCACTGACTGCTCTTCTAGAAGACATAGGTTCCAATTCCCAGCACCCACATGGCAGCTCACAACTGTAAATCTAAGATCTGACAGCCTCATACAGACATACATGCAGGCAAAACACCAATGCATGTGAAATAAAAATAAATTATTTAAAGAGTACCAGACATGCCTGTGGGTGGCCTGCAGTTATATAGTCATATTCCTGTACTACGGTGGCTGCTATCCTTTAGGTAATCAGTGAGTGTATTTGATCACCCATAGTGGCTCCCTTCCTTTAAAAGCATATTTCCACAGTGAACAGAAAATCAAACATGGCAGCTCTTGCTATAATCCTACCCCCCCCACACACACACACATCACACACACATACACTCCAGGTTGAGGCAGGAGAATTGCTGCCACCCTGGGCTATGGAGTAATAGCCTGTTTTAAAACTCCAAAAATACCCAGGAGGTAGTGGTGCACACCTTTAGTCCCGGCACTTGGGAGGCAAAGGCAGGCAGATCTCTGTGAGTTCAAGGCCAGCCTGGTCTACAGAGCGAGTTCCAGGACAACCAGAGCTACACAGAGAAACCCTTCTCAAAAAAACAAAACAAAACAAAAAACCTCCCCAAATAATTAAATAACCAGAAAATTCTCTTCACCTGTGGGAGGGGAAAAAAGAAGAAAAAGACTGGAAAAGACCTTAAATGACGCTGGACACGGTGACTTGGTTCTTTAATGCCTGTACTTGAGAGGCAGAGGCAGGTGATCTCTGAATTTGATGCCTGTCAGCCTGGTCTCATAGTGAGTTCCAGGCCAGCCAGGGCTACATAGTGAGTCCTTGCCCCCCCCCCCCAGTAATAGAAGAAGAACAAAACAAAACAGAAAGACAACTAACTTGAGGTGATGACCAAGAACCAGCCTTGTGGATGGAGGAGGAGCAGGCAAAGAGCCTCCTCCCATTTCTGTGTTCCCTTCCCCCAGCCAGAGGGAAAGGGGTTGAGGCCTTACTGGGTAGGGCTTGGGAAGGTGACCTCAGCTTCCCTGCTGTAGTTCTGGCTGCCTAGCCAAAGCCAATAGGACCAGTGGTGCTTGGCCCAGAGTGCCTCTGTTCCCAGGAACTGGAATTTGGCCTTGCTGCTGCCCCAGCTGTGTGAATTAGCTTCAGTTTTAGATGAGGCCAGATGTGTGGCTGGGAAGGAGTGGAGGCTTCACTTTGTTGAACAGTAGAGTCATAGTTCCTGAGTCAGCACTTCTTTAGCACTGTGCTGTGTTCCTAGAACTCACTGGAGGCTTCAGGGCCCCAGGCAGGCCCTGGGGGTAAGCTGGGGTGCAGTCTAGGGAGCCTTGGGCGATAGCTACCTCTCCTGGCCTCTGCTTCCCCACTGTTCTGCTGCTCTAGACCTTCCCTTCCGGCTTTCTGCTGACATATCACTCCTTAGGTATCCCCTCCCTACTCTAAGAGCCAGCTGCAGGGAGCAAGGGAGCCCTGGGCCTTGTACTTTGGAACTGACCATCTGTGCTAGTAGCTACCTGCTGACACTCAGTGACCTTGCACTTGCTGGAGCTGTGCACAGAAACCTGAAGCTGTGACACCTAACCAGCCACCCACAGAAGAGTCCCTTCTCTTCCCAGACTGCAGCTTAGTGTACCTCCATCTGGGAGGAAACCCAGCTTGCTGACCACTGTGCCCCAAATCCCTGGGTGCTGGGCTTGTGGAGGTCAGCAGACAACCTTATACAGAAGGTTCTCTCCTTCCACTGTCACATGGGTGACAGGGATCAAATTCCAGGCTCCTGTGGCAAGTGCCTTTATCTGCTGAGACATCTCTTTGGACTGGCTTAGTTTTCGTTACACGTTTTCTGGCATTGCCTGGGATTGAACCCAGCGCCTTCCTCATTCTGTGCAAATGTACTGCCATGTTTCAAAGCCTGTGTACTTCCTGAGTACCTCATTGTGGGAGAGAGACTCACTTCTCTGTGGCATTGGCTGCTGTCTAGTCTGAGCTTCATTTCTGCTTGGCCTATGTAGCCTAGCACCTCCAGAATGCCGTCATCCCAGAGCCTAGGAGTTTTATACACAGGATGGGGAGCACTGGCCAGGCCAGGGCCATGCTGCCTCCCTGGCTGGATGATGCAGTACCTATCAGTAGGCCTTCATGAATGGGATGGTTGTGTGATGTGTGCCAGTATCCTTCCCCCTGCAGCCTTCCTTCCTTCTACATCTGGAAATTGCATGTCAGCCCTTCCAAGATCAGGCTTGGTGGAATAGTTTTTCCCAGAGAGTGCTAGAGCAGGCTGTGGGACAAGAGCCTGCCTGCCAGGGTCCTGGACTGTGGTCTCTCTGAGTGTCTTCTCTGGCTCATCTTTTGGGGTCTTGAAAACTCTCTGGGGAATACTTAGTGGTTCTTAGAGGGCTGGCCTACATCTGGGGTGACCTGGAACCTGTGCATATTAGGTGAGTGACAGAGACTGAAACCAGAACCAAGGTGAGTTTTGACGGACAGGTCAGGCTGTTCCTGAGACTCTAAGCTGTTGTTTCTAGCCTTCCCAGCTCTGCTTAGTGTTCTTAAAAGATGAGGAGTCCTCACTTCTTGAAGCAATGTGAAAACGTTTGAAGAAGCATAATTGGGATGAAAGTTCAAGTGCTATTCAAGTCCAGAAGCCACTGACCTAAGTTTATATGGAGAATGACAGGCTCAGGCTGTGTCAGCCGTGCAGCTTTCTTTTTGAATCTCAGGCTGTGACTCCAGGACCTAATCACTACATCTGCATCACAGTCCTCAGAAAACCACAAAAGGCTCATGCACTTTTTCACACTCATGCATTTAATTTTCTAACTTTATTTATGTGTGCATGAGCACATGCCACAGTGCAGTTGTAGAGGCAAAAAGGACAGCTTTCCGGAGCTGCTCCTCTTCCTTCCTCTGCAGGTCCCAGGATCATGTCAGCAGTCATGCATGGCAAGTGCTTTACCCACTGAACCATCTTGTTGGCCCTAAATCAGACTTTATTTTGGTTGTTTTGTTTTGTTTGAAACAGTTGGATGTCTCCTAGGCTGACCCCAAATTTGTTCTGTAGCTTGGTCTTTCTGCTTCTGCCTTCCAAGGATGCCAGCATGTAGTAACCACCATGCATGGCTAATAGTACTGTTATTAGTGGGGAAATTCCAGTTATATGTCTGTCATAGGTGACTCAGGTCACTCCCTCCACCCCACAGTTTCTTTGTGTAGCCCTAGCTGTTCTGGATGGAAGGCTGGCCTCGAACTCACAGAGATCTGCCTACGTCTGCCTCCTGAGTGCTGGGATTAAAGGTGTGTGCCACCACTACTAGGCCTCGGGTCACTTTAATTGGGGTGGGAAACAGCATAGAGTATGTACAATTTAGGCCTAGAGTCTGCCCAGATCAGCAACTTGGTTTAGAGAAGCAGTTAAGACCTACTGAAAAAGGAAGTGGTCTGTGGTACTTTTGAGGGCTTGTTGGAAAACAGAGGTCAATAGACCTTCTGGGAGGGTTGAGAGTTGGTATTGTCAGCAATGTAGATCTTTTGATTGCTGTTGCAACAACTGAACTCAGCTATTACAGATAAAAGTTGGCATAGATATGTAATGAATACCTTTGTTTCAATAAAAAACATTATCCATACAAGCAAGTGATGGGCCAGTTTTAGTCCCGGAGCTTGCAGTCCCTATTGTAAAAAATAAGTGAGGCTTGCACAAGGATCTAGTGTTTATAGACACTGGATGGATAATAGTTGCAGTTGCTTATTGTGAGTGCTGTTGCTTATTGTCACTACTGTTCAGGGCACACAAGTGGCAAGTCTATCTCTGCATGTGTTACTGTACTGAGCTGTCTCATAAGCTTAGTGGCTTGCTTTACCTGAGAAGCTGTGAATGTCATATGGGTAAAAATACCCCTTGAGGCAGGAGAGATCAATGAGTCTGCCTTTGGGCTGCTATACTGTTCAGATCAGAGCATTTTAGGAATTTACAAAATAACCCCTGGCCTAGAAATTCCAGGCCACATCTGTGCTCAGAAGCACTAGGGAAGCCTTGGGGCCATGCTCAGTCCTCTCCTCCCTCAGGTTATGACTTTGCGGCTGTCCTCGAGTGGTTTGCTGAGCGCGTGGACCGCATCATCCTGCTCTTTGACGCCCACAAGCTGGACATCTCAGACGAGTTCTCAGAAGTTATCAAGGCCCTCAAGAACCACGAGGACAAGATCCGTGTGGTGCTAAACAAGGCTGACCAGATTGAGACCCAGCAGCTGATGAGAGTGTATGGAGCTCTCATGTGGTCTCTGGGGAAGATCATCAACACCCCCGAGGTGGTCCGGGTCTACATTGGCTCCTTCTGGTCACACCCATTGCTCATCCCTGACAACCGCAAGCTCTTCGAGGCAGAGGAGCAGGATCTCTTCAAAGACATCCAGTCTCTACCCAGAAATGCTGCCCTTAGGAAGCTCAATGACCTGATCAAGCGGGCCAGGCTGGCCAAGGTAGATCCTGTGGCTGGGTGAGGGGACTGGCTGCTGCCAGATAGGTGCAGGGGCTCTGGGACTGGCACTTGGGGCCCAGCTTTTACCAATCATGTGTCACTTTCCCTGTGTGTGGAAACCACTACCTTGTGTACCCACTGTGCAACCTGCTCTTGACTAAGTCCTTATTTAACCTGTGTCATCTTAGCCTGTACTCTGAGGCTTATGCCCCACCTAGATCAGAAAAAAATGCAAAGAACATGCATTCGACTTAGAAATGTCAAACAGGAAGTTACTACAGAACAAAGGAGGCCACCAGGAAGTGGAATGTGCTGGCCTGGTTGGCTTCAACAAACCCCTTGGGTTTGTGTGTGTGTGTGCGTGCACGTGCACTACTGTGCTCAGCTCGGCACTGAACAGTGGGGACTAGTAGGGAGAGGGAGTGAGACACACAGCATCATTCAAGCCTTCGTGGGAGAACAATGCACATACGAAGTAGAAACATGGATGATTTCGTGTTGGTGGTTAGGTACAAGGTTCTGTCTGAGTGGAGGACTGGGGAGCCATCCTGGTGGCTTCCGTGGGACTGCTGTGTAAGCTGGGACAAGAAGTAGCTAGGACAAGATGGATGCCAATCTGTGGCCTAAACAGTGCTGGATGCTACAGTCCAGACCCCTGGTGACTGCTTTCTGCACAGGCCATATAAATACCCTTTCCCCTTGGTGGGAATGTGGGCCTTAGGGTATCCAAGTCTCTGCATCATGGGTTGCCTAGACAAGTCACTGGGAAGGCTGTTCAGTAATGGCTCAGGTGACCCTTTGAACATGGAGTGGATGGTAGGGTAGTGACCCTGTCCAGACACTGTTAATAGGGTTCCTGTTAGCAGGGTTCTCATTGTCAGACTAGTCTGGAGGCTGAGGCAGGAGGATACCTTGAACACTTGGTTTGAAAGTAGCCTGAACAATATAGCAAGACACTGTCTTAAAACAGAAAAGTAGGCTTCTGCCTGGCCCCTCCCTTGAAAGGAGTTGACTCAAGAGACCTGTCCTGTGAGCCACCTAGTCTCCAGGGAGACATCTCAGGGCAGGGTGTTTGCAGCTGGCTGAGGCACATGGAGAAGGAAAGGCAGACATCAACTGCCTATGGCCACCGAGACAGTCACCTCAGGACCTGAGAAGTACTTCCCAGCCACCCTGTGCCATGACTTTTGCACTGCCGAGGCTGGTGTCTGCATACCAGATAACAGGCACTTACCTCTGCCTCAGGACCAGTCATGAGGTGTCTGGGGGATTCCTTGGCCAGGGCAACCTAGGCTGACACTTTATCCTTCACTGCTGCCAAGTATATGCCATTGTCACTCAAGTACTCCAGCTTTTCCCTTCCTCTTTACAGGGTACAGGGGTGGAATTTTTTTCCCCCAGTATCTCCAAATGTCTGTGTATGTAGGGCCTCCTCATGAGAACACTCATGTGACTGCCCAGGTTCCTAAAGAGCTAGCAGACAGGTAGTACACAGCTCTCTGGGCTGTAGTGCCCACAAATGGAAATCCTATGGTCTCCAGTGCTGCTCCACACAGGTTGTATACCACTGCTTTTCCTGGAGTGAGAGAGACTCCTTGGCTTGTGCAGGCAGAGCTATGACTGGCTTTGGGTAACCTGCCTACCATGGCTCTCTTGGGAAGGCCTAGACACTAGTCCCAGGATCTGGGAAGGGCTGCTCCTCTTGGATAGTCTTGGGCCAGGCTGTTCCCTGGACTGAGTAGGTAGGTAGCAGTGGATTGGGGGGGGGGGTAGTTGAAGAGAGCTTTCATGGAATTTTCTGGTTCTGAGTCATCCAGGCCTATTCCGGTGACACCTACCTGGCTTATTGCTCAAATGGGATTCAGCTTGGGAACCAAGCACTGCACAGAGGCATGCTGGGATGAGGCTTCCACACCACACAGCTCTCTGTGGCTGTCAAGTGTGTTGTATTTTTGGGAGGGCAGTGCAGGGAGACCACAGGTAGAAAAATGGGCAGAACTGAATTGTGATTCTGTACAAATGTATCATCTGTCCTCTGAAGTGCCCTTTCCTCGTTTCCGTTCCCATGTCATTGAGCTGTAATAGCCCTTGTCAGAATTGTGTGCCACTCTTAGGCCTTTGGGTTCTTGTAATAATCTTCAAATTTTAGCTTAACTTTGACCTTTTTGCTTCCCTCTACTCAAGCAGTGAACTTCAGGCACTAGAGGCCTCAGAGACCCTGAGAGCAGTGTGCCAAGCAAGTCCCTGATGCCCACTGCTTCCTGTCCATTCAGGTCCATGCCTACATCATCAGCTCCCTCAAGAAGGAGATGCCCAATGTCTTTGGGAAAGAGAGCAAGAAGAAAGAGCTGGTGAACAACCTGGGAGAGATCTACCAGAAAATTGAGCGGGAGCACCAGATCTCCCCCGGCGACTTCCCAAGCTTGCGCAAGATGCAGGTACTGTCTCCAGGCCAGATTCTGAGTGCCCTTGTGTGGGGCTGAGGCAGGGCCAGGGTGCTGGCAGTGGTTCTAGGGGAACCACAAAAGAAAGCAGCTGGGTTAGTCACCAGTTCCCCACCCGAATCAGAGTTGACCTGGGTCGAAACACTGACACAAAAGAGGGGAATGTGGTGACTCAGCTTGGAGGTGTGGCATGGCTGTCGATGAATCTGCACTGCAGCTTGGGCGAGGATGGGTGCTGCTGTGACCTCATGTACAGCGTGAGGAGCCCAGGTCTGCAGCACTAGCTTAGTGGCCTGAACTGGTAAGTGGGAGGTGTACTCTCCCTACCTGGGTAGCCTGGCTCTGTCTACTGTACCTGGAGTCTAGGAGGCTGCCCCACCAGGCTTTCCTTTCCACTCACAGGAACTCCTGCAGACCCAGGACTTCAGCAAGTTCCAGGCCTTGAAGCCCAAGCTGCTAGATACAGTGGATGATATGCTGGCCAACGACATAGCCCGGCTGATGGTGATGGTGCGCCAAGAGGAGTCCCTGATGCCTTCACAGGCTGTGAAGGGTGGTGCTTTTGATGGCACCATGAATGGGCCCTTTGGGCATGGCTACGGCGAGGGGGCTGGCGAGGGCATCGATGATGTTGAGTGGGTGGTTGGCAAGGACAAGCCCACCTATGATGAGATCTTCTATACACTGTCTCCTGTCAATGGCAAGATCACTGGCGCTAATGCCAAGAAGGAGATGGTGAAGTCCAAGCTGCCCAACACGGTTCTGGGGAAGATCTGGAAGCTGGCTGATGTGGACAAGGATGGCCTGCTGGATGATGAGGAATTTGCTCTGGCCAACCACCTTATCAAGGTCAAGTTAGAGGGTCATGAGCTACCCTCTGACCTTCCTCCACATCTCATCCCACCCTCCAAACGGAGGCATGAGTGACAGCCATGCCTGACAATACCCCCAACCCCCAGGGCTGCTGGCACTTTCTACCCGCTAGCTCCTTGCCTGCCCATTTGGGCCTGGGCCTAGAGGGGCAGAGATAGGGGGAGGGAAAGGGTCACCATTTTTTCAAGGTCCATAAAGACTGAGCAGTGTTTCCTCAGCTCTTGAATAGGAAAACCACCATCTTTCTTTTAAGGCTGTCCGGGCTTCAGCGGGAGGCATGGGTGATACTTGGATGTGAACAGTGGGATTTTGTGCATAAGAACCATGGATATTTTTAATATATAATGTTAGAGGCAGCCGTCTTTCTTGCCTCTTCCTCTGTCTGACAGCCCCACACTTAGTCTCTCCCTACCCGAGCCTTTCCTTCTGTCCTACCCTGGCCAGGCGGCAGCCACAGGAACTCTAGGGAACCCCTCTCACAACCTACTCTGGCACGCCCTTGTGGCAGCTGCCCCAGGACTACGCAGACAGGAGAGCCCCCACCCAGCTTCCTCAGTTTGTTTTCAGACTGAGGTTAATTCATGGGGGCAGTGGCTTGCTTTCTACTAGTGTTCGGGTAAGCTGCTTCATGCCTCTGCTGTGGTCCGGGGTGCACACCCTCTCTCCCTTTGCTTCCACACCCTGTCTCTGACATCCCAGCCATCAATAGCAGCCACAGGTAGAAGACCCAGCCACTATTAACTTTTGTGGGGATTGCAGAGGTGAGAGACAATGTCTTCCAGGAAAATACATAAGCTAGGTATTGTTCTGTGACATTTTATACTTGACCAAATTTTCCAGTAACTTCCACAACACTGTTCAAAGCTGTGATTTTTGTCTCCCCTTTCCTATACTCCAGCCTTGGATCAGTTCCACCTCAGAGCAAGCATAGAGCAGACCCCTTGGGCTTGAGTTGCTTTCTGGCTGAGGGGAGGTCATCCCAGCTCCTGATCTGAGGGGTCTGAAATGTACTCAATTAAAATCAACCTTCATGGCAGCTTCCTGGAGCCCCTGGCTTGGGGTGGGCAGTGGGCCCTGTGACCTGGGGTGGTGTGCTGGTAAGAGGAAGCCTGTGGCTCTGGTCTGGGTGTAGTATCCAAGCAGCAGGACAGGGGAAAACCCAACCCCTTCCCTCACCCTCTCATTTCCTTCCTCCCCTCCTCCCCTGCTGAGCCAAGGTCTGGGTGTCCTGAGATCCCCAGACTGAGCAATAAGAATCCAGAGCTAGCAAATGACCACTTTAGCCACCTCACTGCAACCTCGGGAACCTGGACACACCCTATGGCCAGTGGTTGTCTGTCAGGGTGGGCTTTATACTGAGGTGATGGAGCAGCTGCAGCCTGCTCATCCGACACTGCCGGTGGGCTTCAGGGAGCTGCCTGCCATCACCCAGGTCTGTGCTGGGCCTTGCTGGGGCTGAGCTCCAGCCTGGCCTGTTAGCTCCCTGCCTCAGCCTTCCACCCATACCGTTGTCAGAGGGTAGGTGAGATGTCCTCACAGGTCCACTAAAGTCCAGCTAGCTTGGTCCTCATCTGTGGGGAGAGTAGCTGAGCGAAGACTTTGTTCCTTGCATTAAAGAAAGTTTAATTGTGCCAAAGCTTCTCGTGCTCTATTGTCTTCCTAGCCCTGGAGCCTTTGGAAGGGGTGCCCCTTGGAGCCCATGACTACCCACCTGCTGTGCGGTGTGGAAACTGGCAAGACTATCTGGAAACTGAACTTGATGGTGTACATTCATAGTCCCAACTCTTGGCATTTGGAGGGAGGACCAAGAGTTCAAGGTCAGCTTGGGCTACGTGAGGAACTGTCAAAAAATCAAAACACCAATAGAGATTGACAGTAGAATTTTTCCATTTCCACATTATTACCTCCACTCAAGAGTTCTTTAGCCACAGACTGGTGAATGGACTCCATGGTTAGTACGTTTAGGATTTGGGAGGGATCTTCTAAACAAAGGTTCCAGGGCTCCTGAGGCTCCTGGCTCTTCACTTGCCTCAAGGCAGGTTTGGAGACGGCCCAGCCAGCACTGAAGACAGACAAAGCAAACAAAATCCACAGTTCTGGGTGGGGTAGGTTAGAGCCAGCTGATGTCACAGATAGGGACCTGTTTATGACAAGAGAGGAAAGGATGACAAATTGGGAGTGACATGCCCGGGAGGGTGCAGATGGGAAGTAGGGCTGGGGAGAGACTGTTCTAGGCAAGGCTGGGACAGAAGTTGGGACAAACAGGTGTTTATCTCTGAGCCAGTGCTGCCTCCAGGGTCCTGCTGTGGCTAAGACAAGCCTGATAGTCAAGGCGTCATACACTTGACGGAAGGTAGTGTGGTCCTACCATGTGCCTGAGTTGTTCTGTGTTCTCCTATTTCACAGATTAAGGGTCCAGGACAGGGCAACATGAAGCACTGGTAGCCATGGGGATTCAAACTCGGGTCTACCAGCTCTGGTCCTGTTCTTGAAGTAGTTCTCAGGGAAACAACTTGTAAAGCTAAGTCGGTTTCTGGATCCCCAGCCCACCTCACCCATAAGCCACTTTTCCCAGGCTCAAAAAGATTCAAAGTTGCCGCTCCACCTGAGGTTTTAGACCCTTAGGGCCATCTGTCAGCTTGCAGAAATGCCCTGTGCTTGCTCAAGCTGTCAGCACCTAAGAAAATGGGTCCAAGTAGCTGCCTGGAATGTGGTAGGACCCACCTTTACCCTAGCTGTGGGGGCTCGTGGTATTCTGTCCACTCAGCCCCATCTCTCTCAGGTGATACCCCCAAAGGACACCCAGATGATACCCACTGGACAAGAAGTTTGAGGGAGCTGGGCATTGGTGGCACATGCCTTTACTTCCAGCACTGGGGAGGCAGAGGCAGGCAGATCTGAGTTCAAGGCCAGCCTGGTCTACAGAGTGAATTCCAGGACAGCCAGGACTGCTTCACAGAGAAACCCTGTCTCAAAAAGAGAGAGAGAATAAAGGCAGGCATTGTCTGATTGCTGCCCCTGCCTCCCCTGAACTCAGGTAGGGTATTTTGGTTCCACAACTTGAACTCCTCAGGGTTTGAAGGAGAGATGTGGGATGTCCACCTCAAGGGCTGGCCTTACCCCTTTGCTCCCTTGTCCCTTGTCCCCTTGTTCCCTTGCCTCCTTTCTAGTTTCCTAGAAGCCAAAATCTATCTGGAAGCAAATTCCACTTCTCTCAAGCCCTAGGATAAGAGGCCTTCAGGACTGTCTGTCATCCCGGCCTACAGCACACAAATCTGAGACCAAGGAGGCATCTGGCCCTCTGCTGTTTAGGGTGATGAGGCTTCTTGCAGGGTCATTCTCACCTGGTCACAGGACTTGCCCAGGGCCAGTGGGCTGGTAAGAGGACAATGGAGACTGAGGATTGGAGAGAGGGTTTGGCAATTTAGAGCACTGGCTGCTCTTCTAGAGGCACTGGGTCTGATTGCCAGCATTCCCATGGAGGCTCACAACTGTCTATAACTCCCAGCAGATCTAATACTGGCTAATGACTTCTAAGGACATTGCTTGAATGTGGTACACAGACATGCAGGCAAAACACCCATACACCTATAATAATAATAACAACAACAACAATAAAGGACAACCAACTACTATTCCTGTCCTCTGCTTTCAAAACCAAAACTTCCAAGCTTGGGCTGGGGTAATGGCAAGTGTGAAGACCTTTGTTCAATCCCCAGAACCCTCTTAAGAGTCAGGGTAGTGGTACATGCTCAGAATCCTTGTACTGGAGAGGCAGAGACAGGCAGACCCCTTGGCTGGCCAGACAGCCAGTCAAACCCATGAGAGACCCTGTCTGAAAACAAGGTGAATGGTATCTGAGGAAGGACACAGGCATATATATGCACCTATACATATAACCTGCACACATACATGCTTTATAGCTTGTATGTATAGCACCCATGAGATAATGGGCTTAATCCCCCAGCACTGCAAATAAATAAGTAAATTAATGAATCACTTGTCAGCTATCAGCATTCAAACAGCAGCCTTGACCAAGCAGCTGTATGTTTAAATTCTAGCTCTGCTACTTGCTGGAGTGGAGCCTGGCTTTTGCCTTCTAAGCCTATTCTTTGGGCTCCAAAGAAACCTGTGCTTAGCTTCCCTGAGCACCTTGGGTAGGGCTACTCAGGGGTAGGGAATGTGGGGAACATGGTACCCCACCCAACACTCAGAATAAAACGGGGACCCACCCTTCCCTGAAGCATCTCAGACAGGGTGGCGCCCATGAGCTGCAGGGGTACAAGGAAAGGGGGCTCTGGCCTGGCTTCCTGTGCACCCTGAGAGACTGGCAATTGCAAAACCACATGGGCTGCAGCTGAGCAGAGCGTGGGAGCCCCTGTGGTGAGCTGGAGCAGCACAGGGGAGGATTTGGGAAGAAAAGCCAGGATGATGAAATCACCATATGTCCACACATTTGGAACATTGGACATTTCACAGGAAATACCCATAGTGTGGCCGGCAGGGAAGTGGTGTGGGAGCTGATACCGGTTGAAATATGAGGAGTCTGCACTGGCCCGACAGAAACCTTCGAACAAGCCCTGAGCAGTAGAGGCAAGGATATTGAGCTCCCCATACCATAGCTATTCCTAGATAGAAATGTCACGACAGGCCAACAGGAACCCCATGCCACCTCATTTTCCCTAGTATCCAAGCAGGTGCCCCTCTCCATTATACATAAAAAGTGATTAGAGAGAGGGCATGGACTTGCCCACAGCACGCAGACCTGTGTGACCTGTCACACAGCCATTCTTGGAATGCAGAGCCAGAACTTTTGCACTGCTTCTGAAACTAGGGCTAGGAGACTCAGCCACCCCCATGGGGCCAAGTCTGGATTTTAGAAGGGGGAACTGCAAACCTGGGCTCAGGAAGCCTGAAATGTGGCCACAAAAATTACAGGCATCCTTCCCTTAGCCCATCTTGAATCTGGGTTCCTTCCAGACTCAGAGGGTGTCAGAAGCACCTAGGTTTCCTGCTCCAAATACCTTCCCCTTCTGGGTCTCTCCCTGTAGGAAGTTGCTCTATTTCTCCTAAGCCTGGGGCTCTGAATTGACAACTTTTCTTCATCCAAGGAATTTTACAGGAGTATTTACCCAGTCCATCTAGGTAGGACTTTGCATTGTTCTTTATGCCTCATAGCCCATGGTACCCTTCTGCTGCTGGCAGGGTGTGGACTACAGGAAAAATCTAGAGCTGTTTGTCACTGCCTTCTGGCCTCCCTGTGTCGATCTGTGAAGGGGGTGGATAATAATATGCCTGTCTCTGGAGATAAGAGATCTCTGGCCACTTTGAAACACCAAGGATCTTCTTAAGAGAG